TCCTGTGGCACCCATTTTGAGATTGCACCCACCATCCTCTGTCATAATCTCAAAGACAGCATCTCCTCTGGGCTTGATGAAACTTTCATCAAGCAAGACAATTCTCTCCTTACAAGTATTGAAGCAGGAATAAAACATTGCTTTTGTGACACCCTGTGGGAGATTTCTGACATGGACTTTAGTGATCTAGAATTACAGTCCATCTCTTCTTACAAACTTGGAAATCCAAAGCTTTAAAACAGATGGATTTCTAAGCAGGCCCTACCTGAGGCAGAAGACTCATAGAGAGAAAGGTTCTCCTCCAAGGTAGAGGCCTGTCTTGAGTGTGCAGAGTTAAAAGGAACAGGGCTCTGATACCTTTACCATTTATGAGGGATTTGGAGAGGTACCGCTTATCAGACATCAGTGATTAAGGTGTCTGCTGAAATTCCCACTTTATGTACAGTTATTAAATAGCACAGGCCTTCTTCTGCCAAGGCCCAGGCTTCCCAATTTCTTATTTACAAAGTTTATATCCCACCTTTTGGCTCAAGCAGACCATTACAAAAACCAATCATAAAAATCAGTTAAAATGAAATATAAAACACGTACAAACCCCAGCAATTCAGACACAGGGCAGGAAGATACCAGGTCATGGATAGAATGCCAAATGTGGCTTGCATGGCACAGAGGGATCTGTACTCCCCGGCAAACAGGGCAGACTAGGGGAAGGAAAGAGAGGCAGAGGCTCTCCTGCCCTGGCAACAGCTCAGCAGCTCTGCAAACTGGGGAGGCCCGAGGCAGAGGCTTTTCCCCTGCTCCCACCAAGAGTCATTGCAAACACACACGCAATCCAGACACAGGAGATGAGTGCCGAGATAAAATCAGCTCTCTCCAATGTGAATCCGCACCACGGAAAGTGTGGCTGGAATCTCTTTGAGCCTCACTTATATTCAAGGGCAGTGGCAGACAGAAAACGCACGAATTCTCCAGATCATGGGCAGAAGTCAAGGGTATGTTCTTGTGGTTGACAGAAATGGAACAGATGACTGAAGGGAGGTCTGCTCTGCTGCTCACCTCCTTTGCACATTTTAGGCATATTTCTCCCAGTCCTCTCTCCATAACAAAAGCCAGATAAACTGGAAGGAAAACTCTGAAGTTACCTTTAATGTGCCAAAATAAGGTAAACGAGGGGACGAGGTTAACTGGTTCCACCTGCTCCTCAGTTGTCCAGCTGGTTTAGTTCCAATTCTGTTGTGACAGGATGCGGCGAGGCTGTGCTCTGTTTTTCTGCACATTTCATCCCTTTAACTTTTATGTTATTCTATCTCTGTTATCTTGCTTATTTCATTCTAATTAATCTGCCCTTAGTTTGTTTTTATGTCTTATTGGTTGTACTCTGCTGTTTGTCCAAGTTAGCCTTGAGCTAGCCTTAACTATTAGTTTTCTACCATTTACCCTTATCTTTCCTCCCATTTTGTTTTGTTTTACAGATTCCTTTTTATATGCCTGCCTTTTAATCCATATTCACCACGGTGTCCTCCAAGCAATGCTGCACTAAAATCAAATTCACCCCTCTTTTTAATCCATGTTTTCCCCCCTATTCTGCACTAAAATCAAGTTCAACCTTCTTTTTACTCCAGGTTTCTCCCCCATTCTGCGTTACATTACCTCCCTTCAGTGGTCAGACCAGTTTCAGCCTGCTGTCGCCCCACAGGTTATTTGGATGCTGTTTTGCCATGGACTTAAATTGCCTCGACTCAAACACTGAGAAAATCCAGAGTGCCAGGCAAAAGTGGAAAGGACCACAGTGTCAAGATTTCCCCTTCCTTCCCCCTCCCTTCTCCCTCCTTTAGTTGGGTGGGGCAGGATCAGTGTAGGGCCTTGGTTTCATTCAGTTCCGTATTTGAAACAGTTGTTTCATCTTGGTTTTTTAGATTTGTTTTACCTGTAACTGTTTAACTCTTTTAAACTTTTGAACTGTTTTAATTGATCTTAACTAATAACCTATATGAAGGATTGTAAGGATTTTGATTGATTAGCTGAGGGCAACACTCTGCTTAGACTGCTTAAGCGGTCTGTGCACCTTGTGAGCTGTTTTGGCTAGCTGGAGTCTGGGGCTTCACCCTGCAGTCCTGTCTTAGAGGTGATTTATTGAGTGGTTAGGCTGCTATTAGTGGCTGAGTTGTAACGTGTATAACAGCACTCTATTTCTTCTACTCACTTTTACTCACCTCCCCCCTCCCAGTGTCGCTAATTACCCTGGGGAGTGAGGAGGAATAGCCTCCTGAGGAGGAGTGAATTAGCTCGGCCACTTTCAATTTGGAGTAGTTAGCTATATGTTGTGTGATAGGTGATTGAAACCACTGTGTTGAGTCACAGAGTTTTTATGGTAGATGTTTTAGATAAATAGATTATTTGATTCTTTGCTATATTTCATCCTTAGTATACCTTAGTGACATATTTTTGTTGTTTTTTCCTTTCTTTCTTTTGATAGATTTCAGTTGTAAGTGCCCTCTAGTCTAATGGGTCAAAACTAACATATCCATTTGGGGATACAGCAAACCCATATAGCAAACAAAGTAGGATGGATGCTTTCTTTACTCCCCAGCTGGTAACTAAGGTCCCTGCCACACGGCAGGAAAAAAACCCGGGCAAAGTGCGGCTTTTAAAAGCCGCACCAAAATACAGACGCCGCGGCGGGATCCCATGGATCCCCTGAGCTGCGGCGCTGTTGCTCCCCGGCACAATCAGATGCCGGGGAGGAAGCGACAGTCAGGAGGGGGAGGCTGCCGAACTGCGCATGTCTAAGCATGCACAGTTCGGCTAGGAGCCGGGGATGTGCCGGCGGAAGGACGTGCTGGCGATCCCACGGCCGGCCTTGGTGTGCCCTTTCCCGAAGAACCACCTAGGTAGGTGGTTTATTTTTGATGCGGGGTTTTGGGTGGAAGGGCTGGATCGGGAACGGGCGCGCCATGCTTCCCAGATGTTGCTGTGGGATCGTGCCCGTTTGCTGCACCCCCGATCCATCCCTCTCCTGGCCCAAAACCTCTCGTGTGACCGGGGCCTAAGTATAGATTCCAATGTTTAAATAACAGCCCTTAGTCCTTGACTCAATCTGTGAAGGAACCTCATCACTCAGTGGATGAGACGACAGGTATGAGACCAAAAAGGCAAAACTTTGATGCTGGCCCTAGCCCAGCTAAGTCCATATTAAATAACTGGCAGATCAGACTTTTCTTATACCTGATACTCTATAGAATATTTGTTTCAATGATACAATGAATTAGTAACAAGTTAGCCTGCCTACAATCTAAGAGAAATCTAGTTTCAACTATGGCCTTGCAAGGTAGAAAAGGTTCTAAGAGGGAGAAACACTTTGTTACCCAGCCAACTTAGTTGTCCAGCTGAATGCCGTAAGTGTAGCATTTTAGCAACAACAAAACACTAAACTGGTTGGTAGTAGACAAGCTCTCTGTGGTGTGTGATGTGCAATGGCCGTTTGTTTCCATCACCTGGTGCTGCATTCATTGTGTCAGACCCATCTTTCAATTGACTATCAGGGGTTCCAAAAGGTGAGCTAGACCTCCTGGAGAAGAGCAAGAGTCCAGTAGCAGCTTAAAGACTAACAAAATTTGTGGCAGGGTATGAGGCTTTTAGGGATGGGCACAAACCAGCTAATGAGCCAAAATTTGGCATAAACTTGGATCAGTTCAGCACCTTCCCTGAACGTTTACTGGCCCTTTGTTCAGTTCATCTGTTCCGGGCCATTTAAACAGTTGGTTTCACTTCCCCTGCTTTGAACAGGGGGAAGTGAAACAGACTGCTAAAATGGCTGCCAGCCATTGAACACTTCCTGGGCGATCCTCCCCAATTTTTCCCCTCACCATGGCAGGGAGAAAGGGGGAACCAAACTTGCCAGACCAGCTCGGTTCTGGTGGGGACCTTTTGGCTAAGTTCAAGGTTTGTCCTGAACCAAACCAGGTTTTTTAGGTTCGTGCCCATCTCTATGATCTTTCGCAAATCACTGCTTACTTCTTCAGATACAGCTAGAATGTGAGTCCATCTTTCTTGGAGAGTGATTTCAGATACCAAATGACAATGTCTCATGAAAGCTCATACCCTGCCACAAGTTTTGTTAGTCTTTAAGGTGCTACTGGACACTTGCTATTTTCTACTGCTACAGACAAACATGGCTACCCATCTTAATCTCCTGGAGAAGATGCAACTACTTGATAGCAATGACTGCTCACCCCTCTTTTTTCATCTGAACTGACAGCAGGGTTACCTTCTTTCTCACCCCAAATGGAAGTGCTCCCCATGGAGGTTTAGAAACTTTCCCTCCATTAGAATGACAACAAAACAAAGCAATATTCATATAATTTATTTTCCATGGCTAAAGTTCATTGACTGTCTCCCAGCATTATGTTTGTTGGACATCATTACTCCAGAAGAGTCGCCTGCCCCATGGAGCTAGGGAGAAACATACAAAGTCCCTAAACAGGGCATTCACAAATCTCTCAACAGTGAACCTCATTTGGCCCTACAGCTAGTGAAGGAATTGGGATGGAAGATGTGGAGAGCACACAGCCTTGTATTTCCATGTCTCTCTGGTTCCATGAAGGCTCTTAAAGCATAGCAGATCCTAACATAAGTGTTTGTGGCTAGTATAAAATCTCAACTGCATAGCTTTTGGCTTAGGCCCAAAAGTATAGGAGATGTATGAATGGTCTCTCACCTCACAGTCTCCACATGCAGGCTCCACTGGTACAGTCCAGGGGCAGCTTTACTACTTTCTGTAATCTAGTTTTAAAAATACCACCACCTGATCTTATGCATCAAGTTTCTTTCTATTTACTCACATGAACAAAGCCAAAGAGAGCATACTGTGAACAGACGGAGCTGACTAGAGGGGCTAGAGACTATTGTAAATAATTTTATTTAAGAACATAAGAGATGCCAATGTTGGATCAGGCCAAAGGCCCATCCAGTCCAACACTCTGTATCCCACAGTGGCCAGAAATACCAGTGCCATCAGGAGGTCCACCAGTGGGGCCAACTATTTATGTAAATACATACAAAATAGTATAAAAATATGAAAACAGTCACACATATAAAGCATCAGAAGTTAAATGGACATTTAGATTTTTTAAAAAATTATTTTAAAATTCATTTTTAAAAAGTTATTTATAAACATAAGGTCCAACTATTTTTAGATTAGAAAAAAAGTAATGGCACATACAAATCTGGACAACTTAAATTACTAAATAAAATTCTAAAGCAAAATTTGGATATAATTAAGGCCAGACAAATAAATACAATCACATTGTCATAATGCACAGCCCCACCACCCACGGAAGACGTCTGTCCAAGAAGAGTTACAAAGCCAACACTGGTTATTAGCAACTTTATACATTTCAAGCTAGTCTGACAGGAGAGAGATGTTGATGTATTGTTTTTATTGCTTTTTCTCTCAAACCCAAGCTGACTGAAAAAGCTACTCCTTTACAGACGACTCATGGAAAGATCCATATACACTTGTAAATGTTTTAGGTTTCTCTCAAGCAGCATGGACTGGTTTCCTGCATAGCCAGTGACGGATGTTGTCACAGTTTGTAGAACTGACCATATCATGACTCACGTACGCACACAAACCGGTACCTTTAACTTCAAACCTGCAACAGAATCAGCCCAGAGGTAAGTCAGGAGTCTTGTTCCATCACACATCAATACAGACAAAAAACCCTTGAATGATACAGTTGAGAGCCTTATTCCTCCATATTCCTTCCTTCTTCCTTCACACACTTTCTCACCTCTTCTGCTCCTCAAAAGCCCTCCCAAAATATCCAGCCATGGTTCATCAAATGCTTCTGACCACATCATTCGTAACAGCTGCCTGTTTGGGTTTTTTTTAACCTTTATTCCCTCTCCTTCTGGCCCTGAGACAATCCTATCAATGGTTCCAGTAATCCCATTCTGGGAAACCCATCCTGATTCATCTTGTATCAACTCTGACCATCAAAATAGTTCTGTCCTTCTTGATTCCCCCTCTTCCTTTAAAAAACAAAGTTGTTCTGTTCTTGGGCATGAACACTGAAAACGTGTGTCAAATATCCTATGCGTACAAATTGTTTACCCTCTTCCTCCTTAGAATGTATGCATGCGGACTCCCCCACTGCCTGGGGTTTAAGGAAAAATAGGCACAATTAATCCCCAACACACCCATTTTGTGAATTTTCCCACCAAATTATTCCCAATCCAGGTCTCACAGAAACTGACTGGCACAACACTGCCCTTTGCTGGTCTTCACCTGTTTCTCTCCGGCCACTCCTTTTCTGACTTCTGACCTCAAAAGTTTCTCACAGTTCCAGTTTCTTGTAGCCCCCTGAGCTGGTTCAGACAATATTCCACCTGGCTCACTCTCCTAATAACTACAGGGGTTACTCACATGACTAATGTGACATCGAAAGGAGGAGGGATTCCTGAGCAATTGTGCCTTCTTTTCCATGGGTAAGGACACTTGAAATATGTGGGGGGTTTTTGAACACTGGAGAACTGCCCTGAACATGCACCTTCTTCAGCAGTTACACCACTCACAGGAATGGCCCATTTTCATGAGCAATGAGCACAAGCTGCATTTATACTGGTCTGTCAAGGACAGTATTATCAACTCTGGCCCTGTTCATATGAGAGGTTTTGGGCCGGGAGAGGGACGGATCGGGGCCGCAGCAAATGGGCGCGATCCCACAGCAACATCTGGGAATCATGCTGCGCCCGTTCCCAATCCGCCCCTCCCGGCCAAAACCCGCACCAAAAAAGAACCGCCTACCTGGGTGGTTCATCCTGAAGGGCCGCGGCAAGTGCTGCCGTGGGATCGCCAGCGCATCCTTGCACCGGCGCATCCCCGGCTCCTGGCCGAACTGCGCATGTGTGAGCATGCGCAGTTTGCCAGCCTCCCCCTTCCCACCGTCGCTTTCTCCCCGGCATCTGATCGTGCCGGGGAGCGCCGCGCCACGGCTCAGGGGATCCATGGGATCCCACCCGGCGTCTCAACTTTGGTGCGGCTCAGAATTAGCCGCACTTCGCCCATCGCTTTTCCTGCCATGTGGCAGCAGCCCTCCAGGGTCTCAGGCAGAGGTCTGTCACAACACCTGATCCTTTTAAACTGGAGAGGCTGGGGATTGAACACTTGGGACCCTTTGCATGCCAGGCAGATGCTCTACCACTGAGTCACAGCCCCATCCTCTGGTTATTTGAAAGTGAGAGCGAGCAGTAGACTGCCTGCCATGGGGTTCTACCCTCCTTGCTCTGCATTCTCTGCCTGCCCCAATTTGTTCCACTACCATTCTGAAGCACATCACTTGCTCATTTCCTTCTAGCATCTGGTCTTTGTCTCAGCTTGAACATGCTAGTAAGCAGTGCTCTTCGTTCCTGTTTCCTTCTCTCACTGTTTGGTGCCCAGAAGTGTTAGATCATTCATCTCCCAGGTGTGCAAACTGGTTAACACAGGTCCCTTTCCCTTCATCAGAATGGGTATTAACCCCACTGCACAGAGCTCCTCCTCAAAATGTACTACCCGGGATATGTTTGACAGGGACAGAACCCCTCGTCCCCCCACTTCTGCTTGTGGGGAGGCAGCCAAGGCAATCCTCCCACACCTTGAGGAGCACTTTCAAACTGCAGCAGGGTTCTTAATACTCTCCGGGTTACGAAAGGGAATGAAAGAGCTGAGCATGTCTTCAGTACCCAACGCACCAGAAAATCATTGAGAGAAAGAGTATCGTGGAGATATGCAACAACTAGGATATGAAAAAGTCTTATGTCGGTCCCTACTTAAGTGAAATCACAATACCAAATGCCAGGGAGGGAAATGAAACACAAGCAGTGACAGCAGTGTCTCAACAAAGGTGTCCTGACAGTCTGCAACAACTCCCCTAAAATGTAACAGGATAGTAGGTAATGTGAGGGGAGATTAGAATAGTTTGTAAAGCAAGTGATTCATATTGTTTAAAAAGACACCTGCTCTTGGACATAGTCTTATGAGGGAGTTTTACTTGGGCTAGTTCCTGCAGAAACTATTGTTAGATCAACTAACCTAGTTTATCTCCAATATTGTTGACACAAAACTACCACATTTTCTCTCTCCTCTCAGCCTTTTAAGTGATCTGTGTGTTCCGTCTGGTGTTCGAGAAACATATGCTCAACTACTAGCTTTTGTATTTTCTATGCGATACTTCCCTCTTTTTACTTCTCCTTCCAGAATGTCGACAGTGCAACCTGACACCACCACCATTTTAAACGGTGTTATCTGCTCAGCCATTTTACAAGGAATATAAATGAGGCAAGGCCTCAAGATCATGGTCTGAAACATCTGTTTATTCCCACCTGCCTTTTTAAAATGTTCAGCCTCATGAACACTTCTGGAGAACTCAAAAGATTACATACAGGTTGTGTGTTACTTGGATGGTTCTGGATTTTGCTCTGGGCAACGCAGCTACCTGCAACCTCTTCCTAGCCTAAAGCAGTCATTTTAGACTTCCTGCTTTCCAGGAACAATTTTTTCATTGAATGCCTCCTGACAGCCCTCAGCAGCTGTTCATTTTAGCACCTAATCGGTTATGGTTGGAAAGTCGCCTGTCTGGTAAGCCTGCCCGCCACTGCAGATTCCAGGAAACCCAGGTGAACTTACAAGGGCTCCCCAGTTTGAAGGCCATTGATCTAAGAAAAGATTTCTACCTACAGACCATAATGAACCCAAGGCAGGGTCAATCATTAATTTCTTATGCATCTGAAAAAAAATGCAACTATTGTTCACTAGCATAAAGTTTCAGATATTTAAACATGCCAGAACCAAACTTGGCTGAGTTTTCTGCAACAAAAACATGCAGTAGTCCCGTTATTTCTATTTGGACTAATGTTCAAGAACTGATATGCAAGCAGGAAAAGTCTATCAGCATGCATAAAACACCAAAAAACTTCAAGTGAAATTTTGTGTGATTAACAAAAAATCCCTTTTAGAAAACCTATTTCTCTAAGCATACCCCAAATCTACTGACTTGTTCAGAAAATGACAACACTCACTGGGTAACGTCTGAACCATTTCGCCACTTCCAGGGCTCATCTTCTTTCTTCCTCTGAAGATCAATCCAGCACTCATGTCCCCCGCTATTTACTAAAGCCTTTAATTAAAAACAATCAGGTTTATTATCTTTCAAGATGCATTTATATGTTAATTATAATTATGCAGATTGCTGAAAAACTTTGCATTTTAAAATTTACTTCTATACAGCCTGTGTGACAGTATGTATTATCAATAAAATCTATCCCCTCAGCATTTAGCACTTTATTACCTGCAGTCAATTCTCTCTGCCGTTGCTGGCGCACAAAAGAATTTACTTATTCTCTAGGACATAATATAATTAGCCCGAGGAATTTATTGTTACAGGATACTATGAAGACCAGTGTTCAAATGTCTCTTCCCCAGTTTTGGATTATGCCAAACTCTGCACCAACTACTTTCTTAAAAGTCTTCTAGGGGAAGCCCCACAGTCACTTTTGCAGTTACAAAACCAAGAACTTTTAATTAGTGGCTCTGAATCAGAAATAAAAGGCCAGTGTCTTTGCCCCTAATGAAGCCAAGTGTGTTCCTGGCTAGCATAGCAGTACTCCAGCCATATCAATGGCTACTGAAGCATCTGAATTAGGGAAGGATGAACTCTATGAATGACTGGAGAAGAGATGCAATGGCCTGGAAAGAGGGGGGAAACACAGGGGTGTCTCTTCCCCTCCACACACATTTCTTCCAGGGATGTTTTCAGGTTTTCCATCGTAAAAATTGGGAAATTGTAGAGGAAAGAAAGAAAGAAAGAAAGAAAGAAAGAAAGAAAGAAAGAAAGAGAGAGAGAGAGAGAGAGAGAGAGAGAGAGAGAGAGAGAGAAAGAAAGAAAGGACATATACACAACATTGGCAGAGTGGAGGTGATTTATATGTGAATAATTTGGACAATGATTAATATGCTAGAATATGTTTAATAATAATGCATTATTAAAGAAATCAGTGTTTTCAATGTTATAAAGTTTAGCTACCCATTGTGACTGTATGGGAGAGCTTCTGACAGACTAATATACTTTCTTCTATTTACTAGAGAATTTGTTTTCTATTGTCCATTTCCCCCCTTACCTCCAGGGGTGTCAAACATACAACCCAAGGGACAGAACCAGCCTGTCCAGGTCTGTTATCTGGCCCATGAGCCAGGATGAAGAGGGTGGTGGCAGTGGTGGCAAGGGCAGAAAAAAGACCTGCGTAAAGTTGGCTGGCTGGAGGGTCCCCCCTTCCTCTCTCTCTCAGTTGGGCCTGGCTATGCATGTGGGGGGGGGATCACCTTCTCCTGTCAGAGGTGGGGGGGATCACCATCTCCCCATCAGTGCACATGTTTGCTGGGCCTCCCCCTTTGCTTCAGCAGCAGAAGCTGCCTCCTTCACCACTGCCCGCCCTCTCACTTTTTCTCCACTGCAATGCCAGAGAGGCAGCCCTTTGGAAAGAGGGGAAAAAGAAAGGAGGGAGAAAGTCATTACGTGTGAAGGTGGTGGTGGAGAGCTGCTGATAGGACCTGGCATGAGGGGAAGTGCAGGAATGGGAATGCCAGAGTGTATGGGGGTGGGTAATAAGGGACTGGAGGGAGGGGATCAGAAGGGAAGGGTTGAAGTGCATGCAATGGAGGGGCATGGTGGAAAATGCACTTGGGAAGTCATGGGAGGGGAGGAGAAATACAGCTGTTGGGGTGAGGGAAGGTGCTGAGTGTTTTGTTTGGGGAGTGGCATGCAAGAGCAGGGGTGTACTTGGAGGCTAAGATAAAACAGGAGTCTTGAGCTACCCTCAAAGAACTGAAGAGATTTTGTTGCATTGTTTTTATTTTCTAGGCATCTATACCTTGCTTTTCTCCCCAAATAGGGACACAAAAGAATTTACAAGTATCATTCTCCCCCTTTCATGTTTTTGTTCTCACCAAAAAAAACACCCTGATACAAAGTATGTTAAGATGAGAGAATGACTGGCCCAAAGTCACCCAGCAACTTCCATGGCAAAGGGGGGCTTATGAACCCGGGTCTCCCAGCTGTTAGTCCCCATGCTCAAACCTCAGCACCATGGGGTGTATGTGTGTGTCTTGGTGGAAGGTCAGGGCTCTAAGTGGGACTGAAGTGCTGGGAGAGGAGTGGTTCAGTGGGATCAGACTTGAGGTTTGGGGGAGAGGGGATTGGTGTGGATGAAGCACACAGGATGTTGGGGGGAAAGGGCTGATTTAGGAGTTCTGGTCATTGACACATGGCTGGTGAATCTGTGGTGGATTGAGGGCAATGGCTCCAGTTCTTTGGAGAGTTTATGTTATATGTGTATGTTGGCGGGAGGGGGAAGAAACCCTTCTTCACACACAAAAATGCTTCCAGGGTTGCAGAGAGAAAAAGTTGCTCATCTAGAGTAGTGGGGAAGTGTTTTCTCAAAGAGGGAAGAGGACCCCTGGGATTATTCCTGCAGAGAGGGGATTGACAGGCAAAGCTTCTCTAAAGTGGGAGGTGTACTCAAGGCAGATTACACATTGTGAGTCAGTACAGTCAACAAAATGGGACATTCACACTGCTCCCCACCTACCAACGAAAGGATACCACAAATCACAGATAGATGGAGGAGCAGTGTGATGCTGTATTGAATGGTAAGATTTCTGATGTCAGCATTAGATTTATCAGTTTTAGGGTCTGAATTACCCCCAATTTAAGGTTTTTGCTACATTCGGTTTAGGACAACGTACATCTGTGAACAGCTCTTTTTTGTAATTAATGTAAATAAATCAAAAGTAGAGTTTCATCTTAGATACACTCCTAAACAACATACTCAAGATTGTCATAGCACAGTTGTTGAGTCCAGATTGATGCAATAATTCAGAGCAAGAGGTGTCAGTTATCAAAGACTGTTAAATAAAAGAAATGCTGTAAGAGTGTTAATATTTTAAGCATGTTTATATTTTGGAAAAAAATAGTATCATTGATTGGGTCTGTCTGTGTTTTCTATAAACTTTATATCTCCAGTATCTGGCATTACATTTATGGCACACAAGGACCAGTTCGCCAAAGTGACATGTATGTCAGATCTGGCTCTTGTAACAAATGAGTTTGACACCTCTGGGATGGCAAACATTACAGGTACACATGCTGTGGTAGGCTGCAACAATCTGCAACTCTTTTGCAAGTACTGGGTATGCTTGCAATTTTTCTTTGAGAAAACAAAGATTTATACTAATTTCCATACATTTGCCAAACTACACAATTTTACATTATAAATGATGCATTTTGTGTTGTTCCGTTAAAGTTTAGGTTTGGTATGAAAGTACTGCATACATTTTAATCCCCCCACCCCCCAAAATGTCAATTTTTATCCAAAGAAGCCTTTTTCCTCCATGGCATCAAAATTTCTGGAGGGTTTATATCTATAGGTTGGAGTCTTGACTCTTTACAATGACAAGTACAAACCATCATTTTGGATTTAATCCAGACTCCCCACCCCTCAGTCACGCTTAGAGAAAGCACAGAAGACTGCAAATACAAAGGGATGTCCTTTTGTTCTTAACCACCACAAAGTTTTGTCCAGCAACCATGAACCACCACACATTTCCAGTCGCAAAACCTAAACAGCTTGGCTCTCTCACCCATTCTTGCTTAGAGTCAAGTGTCAACAAAGAAGCACCATAAGAAGAGCAGTTGGTCTGGCTGGAGTCCCAGTCCTGCTGCCCATGAGAGACAAAGTAACACGAAGTTTCCTTTTTAATCCAACCAAGCGGACAGCCATTCCACAGGTTCAGAGGAGCTTGCGATTGTGGTTTTTGTACTAAAAGAAGGAAACAAAAGGTGTTAAGATCCGCCACCATCTCCTGCTGCTGCTCTGAGGGGGTAACTACAGCATTTCTGAGGCTCATTTAGGCAGGGGAAGAAAGTAGAAAAGCTTTCTAAATTATTCGTTTAGGCTGGCTTCAGGATTTCTGCAAACCAGATTTCTGTCCTTTTGATCTTGGTGCAACACATGTTAGAGGGAGCTAATTTAAATGCTTAAAAGCCAGCAGATTATTCAGGAGCCCTTTTGTTTGTGGGCCATTTAATTTTGTTTCTAATTCCAAGGCCCAAGTAGCACAAGAAACTTTAAAAACATCAATGCATTTATAGTTTAACAGATACTGTCTGTTCTGTTATTCCAGGAAGACCTTTGCCTGGCGACACAAAGCACTGGTCCCCCTTCACGTCATCTGCAGATTTACAGTCTGAAAGGAGGGACAGTAGTAGTACTTGCAAATAGCAGTAGGATTGGACATATTCCATTAAACAGAATGGAAGAGAACAGAGATATGGTACTGCTCAGACTTCTTTCCTCCTATGCCCCATCCCTAGAAATATAAATAATAAGACCTCTGTTCTGTGCAAATATCTCGCAGAGCAAAATATAGACCTGGCTTGTGTGACCAAGACCTGGGTGCAGAAGGGTGAAACTGTCACCCTTAAGCAACTTGCCCCACCTGGGTTCTCGGTCCTGCAACAGTCCCAGATAATCAGGTGGGGGCGGGGGAGTGTCATTGCTCATCCGAGAATCATTTTCCTTTAGGGCGCTCCCTGCACCAAAAATTTCTGGTATTGAATGTGTCGGCCCGGCATGAGAGACCGAGGAGAGTTTGGCTATCTGGCTGGTGTACCGATTGCCTAATACATCAACAGATAACCCGGGTGGGCACTGGAGTACCCCAGGCTTTTCATCTTGGGAGACTTAAACGGCCATGTTGATGATGTGGCATCTTCTCAGGCCACGGACTTAGTGTCGTCCATGGAGTCATTGGGACTCTCCCAATTTATATCACCCCCCACACATCAAACAGGCCATACACTGGACTTGATTTTTGGGATGGGGATTAATGTGGAACTGGTGGCTGCTGAAGCTCTAAAGGTCTGACTCTACATGTCCGGCTGGGCATGCCAAATCCTCCCTGTTTAGGTGGCGAGTGCATTTATGCTCTCCTGTGGAGCCAAATGAACCCAGATCAGCTTCAGGCTGTTCTGTGGGATCCGATGCCCCCTGGGGAATCGTGCTGGTGCAGGATTGGTATTCCTGGCTCTCCAAAGCCATCAACAATATTCCCCCCCCCACGCACCCTCTTTGCCCTTGGACCAAAACTGCCCTGTGGTATACCTCGGAGCTTCGGAGGATGAAGCGAGAGCTGAGTCAGCTTAAGCGAGTGTGTCAGTGTACTCATGATGGAGTGGCAAGAACATCTTACAGATCATTTATGAAGGTCTGTGAGATGGCACTGAAGTCCACAAAGAGAGAGTTCTATGTGGCCTCCATTGCGTCAGTGAAGTCGCACCCAACCCAATTATTTATAACTATTCCGTCATTAACTTCTTTGTCACAAGGTAAACCAAACGCTAGTGAATTGGAGATAGGCTGTGAGGTTTTTGCGATATATTTTGCTGATAAAGTCTTCACTCCTCCAGGGCCTGCTGACCACCATTAATAGAGTAAAGGAACTGGAAGTCCCTTGTCCGTCTTCAGGTCCTATTTATTTATTTATTTATTACTTATTCAAATTTATACCCCGCCCTCCCCGCAAGCGGGCTCATATATTGGATCACTTCAGCCAGCTCTCTCAGGAAGATGTCGACAAGGTCCTGGCAGCTGTGAGACCAGCCACTTGCCTTCTTGACCCATGTCCATCCTGGCTGGTCAAGGCCTGTGGGGATACTATTTGGGTCTCCTGGGAGATGTCATTAATCTGTACCTCTCATCATGGACTTTCCCAGTGGGGTTAAAGGAGGCAGTAGTTTGTCCGCTCTTGAAGAAACCAACTTTGGACCCAATGGTCCTAGCCAACTACCGCTCAGTTTCAAATTTACTGTTTCTGGGTAAGGTAGTTGAGAGGACGGTGGTCAAGCAGCTCCAGGTTTTCTTGGATGACACATCTGTCCTCGACCCCTTCCAGTCCGGTTTCTGCCCTGGTCTTGGGATGGAGACAATGTTGGTCGCCCTTACAGATGACCTCCAGAGGCACCTGAATTGGGGAAGGTCTGTGCTGCTGCTGCTATTAGATATAACAGCAGTGTTCAATATAGTTGACTATGATCTTATGACCCACTGCCTCACCAACAGTGGGATTCAGAGGACTATCCTTCAATGGTTTTCCTCCTTTCTCTGATCAGGGACAGAGAGTGGAGCTTGGCGAGAGGATCTCCCTGCAACACCCACTTGAGTGTGGTGTGCCTCAGGGGGCGATCCTCTTGCCAATGTTGTTCAGCATCTACATGCGCCCCCTCGTCCAGTTGGCCTGAGGGTTTGGGATGTCACCAATATGTGGATGACACCCAACTCTGTTATTGGACAGTTGCCCGGACTCCACCTCAGAGAATCTGACCAGGGTGTTGGAGGCCATGGCTGGTTGGTTGCGGCAGAGTTGGTTGAAACCTAATCCAATGAAGACAGAGGTCCTCTACTGAGTTGGGGGGGGGGGGTTGAGGCGGGGATCGGGCTGTCCACCCTGGATGGTGTGCCACTTGTGCCAGCCCAGAAGGTGAGGAGCCTGGGAGTGATCCTGGATACTTCACTTTCCATGGAGGCGCAGGTCACTGAAGTTGCCAGGTCTACCATTTTCTGTCTTTGGCAGATCAGAAAATGGCCCCCACCTCTCCACCCAGGACTTGGCTACAGTGACCCATGCAATGGTAGCTTCCCAGCTTGATAACTGTAACTTGCTTTACACAGGCTTGTCCTTGAGTTTGATCCAGAAATGCCAGGTAGTGCAGAATGCAGCGGCATGCCTGCTGACAGCATCACTTGTGCGGCCATGCATCCAGCTGGTATTTGTGCCGCTTGCACTGACTACCAATTGAGTACTGATCTATTTCAAGGTGCTGGTATTAGCCATTAAAACCTTACGATGCCTGGGACCGACATATCTGAAGGACTGCCTTTCCCATATGTGCCCTGAAGAGCCTTGTGCTCACTGGATCAGCACCTACTGGTTATCCCCAGCGCAAAGGATGTCTGCCTAGTCCCGACCAGGGCCAGGGCTTTTTCTGTCCTGACGCTGGTTGGGTGGAATCAGCTCCCACTGGAGATCAGGGCCTTGCGGGACCTTTTATTGTTCCACAGAGCCTGTAAAATGGGCCTGTTCCGCCAGGTCTTCGGGTGAGGTGGTGGGCATCCATCTTAGTTGGCCCCCCTGCTTTAGTTCCCAATCTACTGAAATGTTCTGATTATATATAGCCTTAACAGTCTTATGTAAATGGCTGCTACCTCTGAATTTTACTGTTTTAATTATTTTAACGTAATGTAATTTTATTGAAATGAGTCTTTGACTCTGTTTGTTGCGATCTGCCCTGAGCCTGCTTGGGGAGGGTGGAATAAAAAGCCGAAAAATAAAATAATAATAATAATACAATGGAGGAATGAGGATGCAATGAAAAAGCAGGAACAGACTTGCAACAAGAGATTTAGTAGAAACTTTAGAAAAGTGTTTATCAATGCATTTAGGTCCAGATAAGAAACAGATTAAAAAAGCAACAACACAGCATCATGCAAGATAAATAATAGCAGAAGGCGATTAAGAACTCACCAGCCTGAATGATATTGCCAATGACTGAGCCCAGGAGCAACAAAAGTAATACAGTTATGATAATGATACTTTTCTTCTTGAACTTTTGACAAGCTTTAAAAAGAAAAGAAAAGAGAAAGGTATTTAAAAGCCAGAGATACATTTTCCCACCCAAGCCCCCAGGCTCTGCTATTGGCTGTCCTGAGGTTTGGGGTGAACAAGCTGTGACTGAATCCAGATGACTGAAGCCTTGGCAATGATTGGTTGGCCAACAAAAGCATGGGGCACTTTTAGAAACAGCCCTGCTAAAGAAAAAGCAAGTAGCAGGTTGGCACTGTTTCCAAGCAGGGAGACTCTCCTCAGCTTCTGTGACTCTCTCAAGTCTGCCTCAGATCCGAAGTCAGGAAAACTGGAGAATCTTGAAGGGCAGCCACTTCCCTGCTCGTCACTGTTGTGTTATGGGGACAGGGAAAGTGACTGCTGCAGCTGGAAGATCTTTGCAAAGCTATAAGACTAGGAAGCTTCCCAAACATCACTCAGTTGTGCTCAACGAATGCCCCCCCCCCAGCCTTCCTGGATGAACCCCCAGGGCCCTGGGACCTTAACAATGGCCATCTGGGAGCCTCAAGGGACAAAAAGGCAGACTTAAAATTGAAAGTACAGGTGCAGGAGTTTGTGTCCCAAGATGCAGAAGAACATCTCAGGGAAAATTTATAATGTTTGACTTTCAACACATCTAATACAGGCTACACAAATCTGTTTTCTCAACGATGAAATTTCACAAACGTTGCCACCTCCCACAGGGGAACTGGGGAGGGGGCTCTGATCCCGATTGGGATCCAGGAGTCTGGATCAGCACTCAAGTCCTCTGTTCCCCTTCTGCCTGATCTTAGGATGGAAGGGAGATGGAGCTGCAGGAGGTGGAGTTCAAATCCCTTTGGGGGCACACAGGAATTACAGTGGCCCATGTTTTAATAGCAGAACTGAACACTACTCCATTTTGATGTTTCTACTAATTAATGATCCATAATGAGTTGGATCTTAGGAACCAAGAGTGGAAGACACCCGCAGACTTTATCACACTCCCCTTCCTCAGTAGTTCTTTTGAAGCACCCCTCCCCCAAGTAATGCCCATGTTTGGGGGACCCACAGGGACCGAAAGCCATGGAGGATCAGAAGCTCTCATCAACACGTCTCCCTCTTGCACCAGCAGAAATATCATTGACGGGAACTGTGGTGATTCTGCCCCCCCCCCCCCTGCAGCCCTCTGTTCTGCATGGCTTTTTGCTCATCTAGGTTCTCTGACTTCGCTGCCTTTTTGGAGGCACCAAGCGGAGTATGGAAGATTTTGTGAGCTATTCAGATTATTCTAAGCCAATGTTCTGCTTGTGCCAAGGACAGCCAATCCTGAATTCAGGAACTTGAGTGGGACGGTGTTCTTTGAAATCTAGTTGGACTGTTTCTTCATTATACCTTAGGCAGAACAGTACGGCAAAGCTAAGTGAAACAGAATAAAGACCTGTGCAACCTTCCCCTGCCCCCCGCTTCTCCCAAGCAGTTGCTAGCCTTACCACATATGGAACCCTAAGGAATATGTTTACATTAAACAAAACAGGAGACACTTGGCTTTAAAACAATAAGTCTCAAATGCTGTAAGGAAGAAGTGTCACATTTGTCAAGATGTTCCCACTATACCTGACTGCCCCATGGTAGTATGTAAATGCTACCAATATTAACTGTGGAAAGAAATGTAAGCTACCAGTAATGAAGTTCTTAGAATTACACAACTGCACCCTAGTGCTCACCAAGTACAACTTCATGGGGTTTACCAAACAGTCAAGATTTCCTTTTGTTTTTGCCTGGAGTCTTTGGCTCCCCTCCATGGAAAGGCCAGTACCTCAACCTCAGTTGTGTCCTCAGCAAAGCAAGTTAAACTTACCACCCTGTCCTTTTGCATCCAAATGTTCATCAGGCTTGTCTGGCCCATTTTCTAGGGTACCACCATTCATAAGAGTTATCGTGACATCTGGTTCACCTTCAGTATGGTTATTATGCTCCATAAGCGCCACAGCCATCCTTTAAAGCGATACCTGCATTATAAATGGTTGAAAACATTTTCATTTCTACATTATTCATAGGGGCTTGATGCCCAACATTACTGAAGTCATTATATTTTGCACAGACTTTAGATGTTTGTTGACTTTTTCACAATATCAGTTTTAAAACATCTTATATTTTTAATTACTGTAAAGAAACACATGAAGCCTACTGAGGATATTTGCCCTGCCATGTAAACCACTGAAAAGTAAAGCAATATTCCTGCCACATTAACAATTTCACAAACCTCCCTGCTTGCATGGCAGCACTGGGATTGCTCCTTTTCAAAGCTGTTTGTATGAATCCTGCAAGCAGAAACAATTTGCACAAGATCATCTGCTCTGCTTCTGTCAGCTGTCATGGTGTGGATTTTCACCTCATTGAATGGGGAAGGGTGACTTCACATGCGCTGGCTGATCCCAGTTTACATTGTTCAGCTGAGCAGTTAATTGCAGGAATCTTTTTCTGACAACTGGAACAGACTCCAAAGTAATTCCCAAATTCTTATCTTTTGGGATCTTGCAGTTCATTTTAATCATATAAAACCCCTAAGAACACAGAATTTCAAAATACTAACCACTGAAAAGATATTACTTTAGTAATTTCTGGAAAAATCAGATTTTGTGGTACATGCTCAAAATCATCCACATTGAAAGCTTTCTGGTGTGCATTTCAGTGAATGCATGCAAACTGAAAGTCAACATGTCCTCAAACTGGGGTTGCAGTTATAATCTCACCTTGGAAGAGCTCTCCTAGGTCTATTTTTCACTAAGGCTGAATACACACATGCATAATGGTAGTTTCATGAAAACCAGATTGGACATTTATGCCTTGGAACACGGAGGGGCTTAAACCCCAAACCCCAGAATTCCTGTGAAGGGTAATCTTCACTACTTAGAACCAAATCATATACAAAAATAAGTTCTGCGTTCCAAACTTCACTGTCGATAAAGCTGAATCCAGCCACCTAAAGCATATCACATCCAAATGCATGTTAGCCCTTCTGCATCTCTCATCTTCCTACAGATTTTGAAAGACAGGGAGAACACCAGACCAACCTAAGGAGGCCTTGGGATTTCATCATTCCTGGCTCTCTGCCCCACAGCCAGGAAGCAAGACTCC